GTGTCCATAAACTCGTGGGTTTATATCTGGGTTTTCTATTCGAATCCACTGGTCTGTATGTCTATTCTTATTCCAGTACCATGCAGTTTTGATTATTTGCGTCCCTGTGACTCTTCCCCATCCATCTTGGGGCGCATAGTTCTACCTCCTGGAACTGTAAGATGCTCCTCTAGAATCAGCTAGGGGCTCTGGGTCTCCTGGTGAATGTGGTTGCTCCCTTTGTGAGCGGGCTGTCTGCCTTCTGCCGAGTTGGAGTTCGTGGCCACTGCTGGCTGTGCAGCCGCCCCCCGTGAGAGGCAGCGTTACCCCGCATCCAGGCAAGGGGTCTTCTCTCCAGTTCTTTCTTCGATGGCGTCAGTGTTAAGAAACTTTTGCTTTCTTGAGTCACAAAAAAACTTTGTGGTTTTAGTTTTCACATTCAGGTTAATTAATTAACGCAGTGAATTAATTTTTACCTGTATCAGGTAGGGGTTTAAGTGTATGGGGGGCCACGACTCACTCCCCACTTGATGTTCATTTGTTCTACCATGATCGGTGGAAAATACTTTCTTTCTCCATCGAACTGCCTTGATGCTTTTGTCAAAGCCCCATTGTTTAAGTGGTAGTTGGTCTATTTCTGGATTCTGTGCACCTACCATTGCAATATTATTGCTCTTTTTAAAAGGTTACTTTGGCTCTTTCAGGTCCTCTGCCTTGATATGTCACTGCTAAAATCATGTTGTCATTTCCTCACAGAAAGCTGACTAGGCTTTAAATAGGAATTGCATTCAGTTTGCCATTTAGTTTGGGGACAAGGTTTAACAATATTGAGTCTTCTATTCCATGAACATGGGATGTATTTTAAAAATTTATATTGTCTTTATTTTTTCTTAGCTATGTTTTATAATTTTTGATGTAGCAGTCTCAATCTTTTTAATAAAAATTATCACTTTTTGTGCTGGAATGTTACTTTTAAACGGCATTTACGTTTCTTTTAAAATCCTTTGTTGCTAGTGTTATAATTTTTTTAAAAAGCTTTATTTATTTACACATACAAGAACTGGGGTACACTCCAGAGGTGCGGGGGCTGAGAGGATTCACCAGAGACAGTGCATAACAGAACAGGCAGATTGACCAAGGCTCACTCCTGAGGGGGGGCAGAGGGGAGATAGGAGAGGTCTGCTGCACCATGTGGGTCACCTCCCTGACCGGGGATTGAATTCATAGTGCAGCGGCTGTGGGTTGCTTCATAGTGCTGCGCTTTAATCCCCAGTACCACCAGAGAGACCCCTAAATACAGGCTATTTTTGCAAGTTAACCTTGTGTCCTGCAATCTTGTTCAAGTCATGTAAGTCCTAGAAACTTCTATATATGTTCCTTTGGACAGACTATACATTGGATCTGGTGTGGCTGGAGATGTGTCTTCTTTCTAGTTTTTATAGACAGTTCATTGGCACTTTTTGCTTTGTGGAGCTAGCCTGACACCTCAGGTAGTGCTGAGAAGAGGTGGCGGCCCCAGTCGCCTGGCCTGCCCGCATCCGCTGGGAGTGTTCAGTCCTCCTCCCCAGCTTGGTGTTAGCTGCAGGGCTCACGTGTGTCTTGAGTCTGTCTCCTGACAGACACGTGTGTGCTGCTGAACAGAGAGCTTACCAGAAAGCACTCCCCAGGCTTAAAGCTCTGTCAGGGAAGGCAGTGAGGTGGTGATCATCACAGACACCCTTGGGGCTGAGGATGAGGGAGAGGTGACCTTGGGATGTGGGGAGAGACACTGGGGACTTGAGTATGGATGGAAATTACAGACCTCTGAGCCATGGGTGCTGGCTGTTTGGGACCATAGAGGTGAATGTTGGATGAAGAAAATTGCCAGCTGGGGTTGCAGCTGTCAGTGGAAGTAGCTGCTTCCTGCTGGAAGGAGGCCTCTTGGGGTGACACAGCGCAGCAGACACCCTGCTCTGTCTCAGTCTCCTCTGCCTCCAGGCAGACCCACAGGGCGCCGCAGGCAGGGCCAGGAGGGTGCTGTACTGCTGAGAGCGCAGCTCTCAGGGAGGCCTGGCTCGGTCCTGGTCTGGGTTCCTGGGATTTTGCCTGACTAAGGACTGCCTTTTGTCAGGTGCATTTTCAGCATTTGTTGAAATTATCCGGCTGCCTCTTTCCCTTTACTCTGTTCACAGTGAATGGCGGTGATTGCTATTAGAAGATGAAGCAACTTGCCATTCCTGGGATACCTCCACTAGGTTGAGATGTACTGCAAAATTTATTTTAATAGCATATTAAAGTATTTTGTGTCTCTGTAATGGGTTGGTTTGTAGATCTCCTTTCTTGTAGTGACTGTCTTTGTAAGGCCTTGTGTTTGCAGGTTTTGGTATCTTGGTAATCCTAGTTACCGTTTCTCTCATAAAATGGACAAAGTTTTGGTAGTGTTGAATTCCCTGGGAGGGCCGTATCATTTTGGTGGGGTTCAGTTTGGTAGGATAGAATACCCAGGAAAATCTCTCGCATCGGCTGTTTTCTCTGTGGGAAAGAGTTTTGCTTGGATGTGAGGTCTTCTGTGGCCCACAGAAGTTCATCCTTGTGTGTCCCAGTAATTTGTGTCTCCAAAGAGCACGTTTATGACCTCTGAGTTGTCGGCCATGTTGGCACACTATCTTTCCTGTATGCCCTGGCTTCCTCTTCGCCTCTGTGGGCCCTGTGGTGTAAAGGATGATGCTCCCCGTCACTATTCTTCTCAGACTGTAACAGTGCCCGTGAGGCCTTCAGCGGGGTGGTTGATGTTTGTTTCTGTCTCTCATCTGTGAGTTACTGTTCCACATTTTTATCTTGTAGCATTTGTTGAAGAAGCCCATGTTTGTTTTGGGATTAGTTAATCTGTCAAGTAATCGTTTCTTTAGTTTCGTTGGATAAGTAACTTTCCAGGCTTCTCACTTGAGCCAGTTATTTACTCTGGCCCTGTCACTTGTAATTCCTTTCAGCCCCAAAGAATCAACTGTGCTCAAACTTGAGGCAGCATGAAATATGTAGCATTCACCACAGCTTCGGCATAGCTTTACAGCACTTGTTTTGATGGAATGCTCTTTTCCATGTTTCTCATTGAGTGATGAGGATGTTTTGATTTTATACTTGAGAGTAAACAGTGGTTAAGAAAGTGGAGAGTGAAAAATGGAGAATTAGTCATAATCTTCATTGCTTTTGCTGCTTTTGTATTTCAGATGGGTCTGTGAAGAAATCCCAGATCTCAAGCTTGCGATGGAGAATTATGTTTTAATCGACTACGATACCAAAAGGTGAGTGGAACCCTGTCTGCTCCCATAGCGCCACCAGGGACAGGCTCAGTTCTTTGTGGGAACACAACCTGTAAGTGGTGCTTCTTTGAGGGCACATGCTGATCTGGAATTCCCTTTATAGTGGGCCATAGCCTCTGTGTAGTTATTTTTGTAGGAACTGTTTATCCAGCATTGGCAGAGGCTGTCAGGGTGAGGACAGGGCTGGAAGTGCCCGCTGCAGAGACTGGAATGAGTGTGTGTGAAGCTGGTAGCTGCTGTTGTCATGGTGGGCAGCTGCCAGGGCCTTCTCGTCCTGCCTGGAACTGCTGGGCTGGCCAGACCTGTCCTGCAAGCCTCGGACTCTGGCTTGGATTTCAGCTCAGTTGGGAAGTAACTGTGTCTAACCCTTTGGCTGCTCCTAGCAGTTTCCTGCAGGCGTAGCCGGGGCTTGAGAGGAGAGTCCGTGGGTGGAGTAGGGGAGGCCATTTCTGGAATGCCTGCCTGGGAGTTTTGTTTTTCTGGAGAATGAGAGTTGACATTCCCTGCTTATGCCTGTTTTGGCTCTTGGCAGACTTCCCTGAGGGCTGTGATATCTGTGGGCTGGCTGACTTGTTCTTGACAGGCATGCCACACCAGGCGCCTGGCCTACATAGTACCAGGCCCAGTCCTGGACTTGGTGTCGCTGTTGCATTTGCAACACCGCTGATTGGTTGGCAACTCTAGCTTTGCCAGCCCCGATCCTGCCCTATTCCCCTTTAATAATCATTCCCTGGGGCCTGAAAGAGAAGGGAGCCATGGTCACTTTCGTCAGAAGTTGGCACCCTGGAGTGTCAGGTGGCCCTCCCTTGTGGGTGCTTGTAGTCACCGACCCTCCACGTGGTCTGTGAAGCCACCACACTTTCGGTTGTTGTGCCTGCCCTAGAGAGCCAGTGTTCTCAAGGTGCTTTTGCTACAAGGCTCTTACAGGTGGGTGTTTGATGTTCTCCTCCATGGTCGGTCAGTCAGCTTAGAAAAGACAGGAAGGAGGTTGGAGGAGGGAAATGTCAGTTTGGTGGTGTCCACCATGGGGTGGTGTGATCTGGGGTCGGGGGTGTACAGAGTGTCCTTACTTTGTCCTAGACAAGGTGGGGCAGGGCCACCTGTTATGGCTGGAATCCCGGCAGGCAAGGGTGTCGGGATGGACGTTGGGCAGCCCAGGTTCTGAGCTTCTGGTCTGCTGATCCTCGTTGGGAAAGTCTCTCCTGGAGGCATCCAGAGACCTTGAGTGTTCCTAGTCACTGAGGTGAAAGAGAGATGGAAAGTCGAAGGCAAGGACATAAAATTGCTGGTCACTTCATGGATCAGGAGATCAGGCTGCAGCAGAGCTCAGCAGGCCCGGGCGAGGGCTCCTGCCCGCTGCCTGCAGGTCTCTATGGGGGTTAGTTGGTCTGGCACGAGGTACAGCTCATGTCCATGCCGTAGTCACTAGCGCGCTCTGGTGTGGGTTGTCTGGTTGTCGTGAGCACCACCCCTCCCCCGTGACCTACCTGTGTCAGCATTCACCAGGTGGGGCGCCCCTCTCAGCTTCGCTTGCTTTTTTCAGCTGCCTCTCCCGCAGCTGCTGGTGTGGCTGGTCTTGGCGGAGTTCCTTCTGTTGCTAAGGGAAAGTGTGCAGTGGCACGTGCACAGCTCTCCGGGGACTCAGGCCGTGGACGGGGATGGGCGGGTCTGGATCCTCACGGGGGTCTCGCCGGCCAGCCAGTGTCCTCAGGTGTCTCCTGGGGTCTTGCTGAGGGGAGGGCCCGGCTGCCGTGCACGTTGGTGGTGTGGAAAGAGCCCAGTGCCGCTCCTTTCCGTGTAGGGCCCCGGGGCTGCCCTTTCCCGCAGCCAGGGCTTCTCCCTAATTCGCCTTCCAGCACTGCTAACGTCAGGACCAGGTCATTCTCTGGGGGTCCATCCTGGCCACTGTGGGGTGTGAAGAGCAATCTTGCTCCCACTGACTTGAGGCCAGGAGCACTTCCACAAATGTTGCCCACTGTCCTCTTGAGGGGGAACCCCACTGAGGAGTGATACCTCAGTCACAATGATCACATCTGGAGAACCGCATTTCACTAAGACTTTACCTGCTGCAACCCCCGCCGCCCGCCCCTGCTAGCCACTCGGCACGTAGCTCTGTGTCCTCGGAAGCTTGGTGAGCAGAAGGGACAGACGTGAATGAGACCCCTTTCCCCGAGTCACCTGGAGCCTTCCCACGGCTCCCGACAGGTGGGCCTTCCGCCGGCGGGGCTCTCTGGACTCGCGGACCCAAGTGTCACGGCGTCCTCCGGAGGTGCTCCCGGCGGTGGAAGGGGGTAGATTCCAGACGACTGCGCACTGCGTTCACCCTGGCGTGTGTGTGGGGTGGGTGACGCAGCAGCCTGGGCCCGCTTTGTGACGGCCAGGGGCCCGTGCTGCCTGCGCCTGAACCCCCAGCCGGCTCGTGCCCTGCGACGGCTGCCTTCTCCTGGTGCCTCCCCACCGCAGGGGCCTGTCTGACTGGCAACGACAGTGCCTTCCTTGCCTTTCAGCTTTGAAAGCATGCAGAGGCTCTGCGACAAGTACAACCGGGCCATCGACAGCATCCACCAGCTGGTAGGTGGCCCTTGTCCTCCACTTGGTTCTCCGAGGCTGGCCCCCACCGGGGTGGTGACCTCTGTTGCGCTCTGTCACCTGGGTGGTGTCAGTGTGCTGCTTCCAGACCCTCTGGGAACCCGGGACCCAGATAGCGCCCCAGACACGGGATGTGCAAATGGGGCTGGGAACAGACCCCCAGTGGAGCGCTCAGTGGCCCGTGACCTGGTGGTGAGGGCGCATCCTGGCAGGCCCTGTGCTCGCTGTACCTTTCTGGAGGGCCTTGACTGGCTGACCTGGTTCACCCTAGGGTGACTTGGGGCCCTCATGTCTACCTTCAGTGGGTGCCCTTTCCCTGGGCGGAGGCAAGTAGCAGTTAGACCTTTGGGAGCTTTTGCCTTTCAGCCAGTCGCCCTGGGAGGGTCCTTCAGTCTGTGTGGGCACCCTGAGTATGCAGTGGCCCTCTGGCCGTGGCACAGTGGGCTGAGAGTGGAGATAGCACTCTGTAGACAGGGCAGGACCCTGGTGAGAGGCTGGGCGGGTGGGTGAGCCCTCTGCATGGAGCCCTGGAACGTGCTGGCCGGGCTGCACAGCGCCGTTCATGGTCATTCCTTATGGCCAAGAAGAGGCCACTGCGCAGTAAGGAGTCGGGCTTCTGTGTCGGGCACGGCCGGGAGGGTCCGCCGGCGTCAGCTGCGGCACCCAGTCCTCCGCCTTGCCTAGGGCTCTTCCTCGGGGCCGCCACTGCTGTCACAGGCTGCAGGAGCTGCAGTGCAGGAGGGGAGGGTGTGGGCGACCGGTCTCCTGGGTCCAGCACAGGCTGCAGGGGCGCCCAGCTCGCGACCCTTGCTGGGTCGTAGCAGCGTGGTGTGCAGGTCTGGGAGGACGGCACCTGTGTGACGTGTCCCGATGCTTTCTTCACACCAGTGGAAGGGAACCACCCAGCCCATGAAGCTCAACACGCGGCCGTCCAACGGGCTGCTGCGGCACATCCTGCAGCAGGTCTACAACCACTCGGTGACAGACCCCGAGAAGCTCAACAACTACGAGCCCTTCTCCCCCGAGGTGTACGGGGAGACTTCTTTCGACCTCGTGGCACAGATGATTGATGAGATCAAGATGACTGAGGACGACCTGTTTGTGGACCTGGGCAGTGGTGAGTGGGGCCACGTGTGCACTCGCGCCAGCCTCTTTCTCACGGTTGTCCCTGTCGTGGATGCCTCTGCGCTTCCTTGGAGAAGAGTCCAAGGGAAGATGGTGAGGTTGCCAGAGCACTCAACAGCTGGCTCTGGTGGTGCCCCTGCCCTCGCCTGTACCCTGGCTCTCCTGTTGTGCCAGCCCATGACAAGACTGCTGGCCTACCTGGGCTCAGTCCTAGAGCTTGCTACTCCCCAGCCTGCCGGCCACTCCTCAGCCTGCCGGCCACTCCCCAGCCTGCCGGCCACCCCACCATGCCCTGAAGCCTCACAGGTGCTGTCAGAGCTGCTCCCTCTGTTCAGAAGGCCCTGTGCCCTGCTCCCAGAGACCCCGCTCCCTCAGTGCTTGGGATGAGTCCCTTGCTCTTGCAGAGGTAGTTCCGGGAGCTACCACTCTCCCACCCTCCTGCTCTCGGCAGTGCAGTCAGCCAGCTCCCTGAGTGACTAAGGCACCCTGTACCAGAGCGAGGCCCCTGAAGGCTGGGCCCGCCCCTAGCCAGGCCTCAAAGCTGGCAGGGGCACCTGCAGGAAGAACAGCAGGAGCGCACTAGCTCGCTGGCTCTGTGTCGCAGTCAGGGTGAGGGCCGATGGTGCAGGCGGCTGCCAGGCTGCCCACTGCCTTTGGAGCCTGAGCGGAAACCCCGCTTGCCTGGCTTTCTACCCTGTGCAGAACTTGTCCTGGCGCAGGAGCCTTGTGCTTACAGGTCTGGAAATGCTGTCTCAACACCTGTTCCCAAAATGGGCCCTGTGGGTAGAGAGGAAGATTGCATGGTGATGCTGTCCACTTTTCTGAAGCTTTTTATGCATGCAGCCCACTTTTCAATGAGGGTGCATATAATTCAAAAGTCAGTTACGTAGAAAGCTATGTGACTTTTATCTCTGTATTAACAAAGGCTTAACGTTCAAGTGCTAGCGTTAACCTCTCGTCCCACGTTGACCTCTGTGTTTTAAAGTAAGCTTTTAAAAATTATCTGACTGCATTTTATTCAAGATAAAGAATCAGATGTCTCATACCATGTTACCTGACGTACAAGGAGAGCTTCCTGGTGCCTCAGCGTCTGATGTGTGTGTGCCAGGTGCTGCCTCTGGTTTCTGAGCTTGAGGACCTGCTGGTCAGGTGCCACGTGACCATGGCACATGGTGCCTGTCACCAGATGACCATGCTCTGAAGGGTTTCCCGCTCCCTCTCAGGTGCCACAGTAGGCCCCAGGTGTCAGGCAGTGTTGTTGAGGCACTTTCAGATTGGGCCAGCTCACCGTAGACAGTGACCTCCCAGTGACCTGAGTCTCACGGCGTCATGTCTACATGTGAGCAGTTAGACTCCCTAGCACTGCAGTCCTTTGACCAGGAATGGACTCTGTTGTCAGGAGCATGGAGTGGGCCAAGGATACTGAAGTGCCCTGGTGTGGGCCCAGCTCACGATCTGGGTCGTTTATGTAGCTGCCTGTTGACCCCTGTGGCCACTGTGTTCCTGGTCCAGGCCTCAGCACTGGTGTGGGCCTCCCCTTCTGTCACATTGTCTGAGGCACCCTCTCCCTCTCTCTCAAGGTGTGGGCCAGGTTGTGCTACAGGTTGCCGCGGCCACCAACTGCAAACATCACTATGGCGTCGAGAAAGCTGACATCCCAGCCAAGTACGCGGAGGTGAGTGTGCCAGGGTGCTGGGATGTGTGTGCACGCATGCAGCGCGGCAGAAAGGAGAGTCCGGTGCTGTTCTGTTTCCAGAAGGCCAGCATGCTTAGTGGTCCTGCCGACAAAGGGCGGCTCAGTCTCCCCCATGGTAGCATGGAAGTCCAAGGGGCTTTTTGGGGTGATGGGCTGTGGGTGGAGGAGGGGCCACTGGGGTGGGGGTGAGGACTGCAGGGGCATTCGGAAGGCCCCTCCCTTGCCTCCTGGCTGCCTAGCTTTCTGACCGGCTGTCCGGCTTCTTCTCCTTGCAGACCATGGACCGAGAGTTCAGGAAGTGGATGAAATGGTATGGAAAAAAGCATGCAGAATACACAGTGAGTGCCATCGCTCCATGCCCCTGTGGCTAATGTTCGCCAGCCCCAGTCCCCTGCACCCCTCTGACCCGCCGTGCTTCTCCCATGGGCCCTTTCCCCTAGGGCCTGTCCCTGTGGAACAACGTGTATGGCACACAGGCCATGCATGAGCCTGGCCCCAGCCGGGAGTGCGGCATGGGGTGGACGAAGGCCACTCAGCCCCTGCAGGGGCGCTGTGCTGGAAGCTCCCTTCCTTCCCTTGCACCTCTTGCCCGCGGTCATGTTCCCTCTCCTCTCAGGGGCTCTCCCGGGGAGTCCAGCTCCTGCTGCCCTTCGCTCTTGAGGGACACTTGCGTTGGGCACTTTTCCTTTTCTGGTACACCCGGTTGATGCTTGCGCAGTGCCCACCACAGGTGGGCCACATTTGGGGCTCTCGAGGCGGTGTTCCCCTAGCCTTGGGCACAAGTGGTAGCTGGAGTGGAGGAGGCAGGAAGTGGCAGGAGCGACCTCTGACGCCTCTGTGGGCCAGGGCGGACAGAAAGGGGAAGCTTTCAGGAAGCCGCAGGTTAACCTAGGCAACTTCCAAAAGTAGTGCAGCTCTGCAGTCTTCCAGACTCCTTCCTGCTCTAGGCCACTTCTTTAACACCACGGCCCGCTGTTGTGCAGACCTGAGCTGGTGGTCCCCTGAGTAGGGCACTCTTGTTCATGTGGACTCGAGCTGGTGGCCACCTCCCCATGCCTGTGACGGTGTTGGCCACTTGCATTTCCTTGCCTCCTGTGCTTAAAAACAACCAGAAACCTTGGTGTCTTGACACTTTGGAGGTTCCACGGCCCTGGCATGGCCTCATGCCCCAGCCCTGGCAGTAACACTCATTTAAACACAGGTCTGCTCTGGCAGCTGGAGGACTGCCGCCTCCCGTGGGCCTCAGCCTTTGTCTACTGCCTTCGTCGTCAGGAGGAGCGCGCGTGCGGACAGGGAGCTTGTGAAGGGACGTCGTTGGGGCTGCGGGCCTGACGGGCTGCTCCCTCCCTGTGGGCGCCTTAGTCTGTGTCCTCGTTTGTGGGACTTGAGGGGCTGCTCCTGCGGGAGCTCCCGTGTGCTCCCCAGGACTGCGTGCACCTCCTGCGTGGCCTGAGCTGCCCCTCAGGTGGCCTGCCTTCCTGGGGCCAGCCCGTGACAGTTCCTTTTCTGGCCAGACGCGGGCTTGGGGCCAGCGCCCCTGGCTCCCGCTTGCCATGCAGCCTCACTCGCTCGGCCTCGGCTTTCCGCTGAGGCTCTTGGGCTGCAGTCCTGGACTCTCCACTCCTGCGTTTCCTCTTCCTCCCTGGGGTTCTGCACCCACGTCTCACATGCACTTCCATGTTTGGAGGCCTTTGTTGACCTCTGCCCGTTTCTTGGATTGCCTGGAAACACAGCTGCTGCGCTTTCTCCACCCGCCAGACGACTGCTCGTGACCAGAGCGCTATCTAGACACCCTTGGCCTTTCTTTCTCATCTCCATCCATTAGGTGCCGCCACCTGGCAGGCCAGGCCGACCTGCGCTTTGTCCTGCAGAATTCTTGACACCTGGTCACCATGCAAGAACGCCATCCTGCGGGACATGGACTGTCCATCTGGAACTGATGTTCTCTGTGGTGTGAGGGAGATAGGCTAAGTCAGGTAGTTGTAGGCTGCGGATGGATTTCTAGAGAGGAAAGAAAAGGTTTCTGTTGATTGGAGCACCCCAATAATTTCTTTTGTGGATGGTGCTTTTGGTGTTGTATTTTTTTTTTAAAGATGTATTTATTCATGCAGACAGAGGTGCAGGGGGTAAGAGGCTTCCCCAGAGACAGAGTGGGGAGCAGAACAGGCAGATCAATGAAGCACACTGAGGGGAGCAGCAGGCGGGTCAGGAGAGGTCTGCCACGCCATGTGGTCACCTCCGGGGCAGGCGGGGATCGAACTCCTGCGGAAGTGGCTTCAGCTTCTTAGTGCTGCGCGTTAACCCGCTGCACCACCAGGGAGGGCTCCTGGTGACCTAAGTTTGCTTCATAATATCTTTTGGGAGTTTTATAACTTGACATTTTTCATTTAGGCCTGAAATCGGTTTAAAGTTAGTTTTGTGACAGGTATTAGTCTGTGTCCATAATCTTTCTTTCCCTGTGGGTGTCCAGGTGTCCAGTTGTCCCCGCGCAGTCCGCAGCAGAGGCTGCCTCTGCCTTGACTTGCCTCCGCGCCTTGTGGAAGGCCAGCTGGCGGTGTTTGCGTGGCCGCTGGAGGCGCTCTGTCCCTTTGGCTTGTCTTTCCTCTGCCAGCACTATACACCTGGACTCTCGTTTCCCAGGCAGCTTTGGCGTCGGGTAGTGTCCGTCCTCTGCTTTGTTTTCCTGCACGTCGTCTGGGTCTTTCTCCCGTGACTGCAGTCAGCTTGCTGATATCTATGAAACTGCTTGCTGACAGCAGGTTTAGCTGGATTCAATTCGCCCCTTATGGTGACAATCACTTACATTTTGATAGTGTCAAGGCTTCCTGTCCATGAGCGTGAAACCTCCCTCCAGCTGCTCCTGTCTTGTCACCTTTCTTTGAGATGTTCCTCACATACGTGGTGCACATGCTTTGTGAGTTTTACACCTACGTGTTTCATCTTTGCATGCTAGCAGAAACGGTATAATTTAATTTCAAACTCTGCTTGTTCATTGCTGATCTATAGAAAAACAGTGTTCCATGTGTGCATCCTGTCTCATTTCATAGTGATACCTTTATCCTGTGACTTCCTTTGGTTGCTTAATAGGCCGATTCAGATTTTGACACAGATGCTTGTGTCGTCATGAGCAGCAAGCGTTCCTTCTTCCTTCCCGGTCTGCACACCTGCCTCATCCCTCCGTGTAAAAATGACCCCAGTGACTGTGCCAGCACCTGGTGGGATGTGCCCTCTGGGTTTGTGGCATTACTGTGACGTTCCCACAGCGATGCACCACGCGTCGGTGTGTTTCCAGGCACATTCGTGTTTGCGAGACTTGCATTTCCTCGCCTTGTCTCGGCACAGCGGCGGGCCTCCCGGCCTGGTTCGCTCTTCGTGGGGGGCCCTGTGTTTCACTGGGGAGCACGATGCCGGCTGTAGCATTGTGCGTGTTCTTTTTTTGTTTTGTTTTGTTTTGTTTAGAAAATTAATTCATTATTTTCCCTTGACGTTGTTGGCTTTCCTTTCTCAGCTGCAGCCCCGTAGAATTGCGTGTTCTCTCCTAGGCTGCAGCGTCCCTTCTGGTCTAGCTTGCTAGGTTTTGCTGAGTGCTTGTTTCTTACGTTGGGGCGGGCACCAGTCTGCTCCTCCTGGCTTCCTGATGTCAGGGTGTGTCTGTGGCATTGGCTTCTGCAGTGGGGTGAGTCCATTTAGATGTTCCTTTAGTTTGTTTCACAGTGTTGGATCTTAGTGGGGTCTGGCTTTGTCCAGGGTCTACCCCTGTGTCTGTCAGGGCTACTGGTCTGTGCTTCCTTTCTCGGGATTGCCCAGTTTTGGTGCCAGGTGCAGCTGGCTTTGCAGAGTGAGGGACAGGACTTGCATGTCCTGGGTGTTCACCGCTCTGTCCCTTTTCTTGGTGGAACTTCTTACGTAATTCCCTGTCTCTTCCTCTTGTCCTCTACACCCGAAGTTCTTGGAGTTTGTCACTCAGGCCACACCCACACGTGGAGTCAGTCCATTTGGGCTTTGCTTCCAGGGCACTCCTTCCCACCAGTGGTCCGTGCCCCTGGCGCAGCTGACAGTCCAGGAAGGTCTGTCTTTTCAAAACTGAGACCTCTTAACTTCCTCAAACACTTACTTCTCAGTGAAGAATACTTCCAGTTATGGGTTGGCGAGTGAAGCAGTTCCAGGCACGTGCTATTGAAGTGCTTGTGGCCTGGCTGCTAGAGTAGCCCCACTGGGTTCCCATTGGCCTCACGTGCTTATTGGGGCACAGATTTAACATCTGGTGCCAGCCTCTTGGAGGCTGGTGTAGTCTCCATCCTGGGTTGATCATTTCTCCTGGTCACCACCAGGGGGTCAGTGATACCTATGACTTGGCCATGGGAAGGGCTCCTTGCTTGGGAACCAGCTCGTTCATTTTTAAAAAAATATCCATACAGAACTGGGGTACAGGCCAGAGGTGCAGGGGGTGTAGAGAGGATCCACCAGAGACGGGGGAGCAGAACAGGCAGATTGGCGAAGTGCACTGCTGAGGGGAGCAGCAGGGAGACAGGAGAGGTCTGCTGCGCCCTGTGGGTCTCCTCCCTGGCCGGCGACTGGACTCATGCTGAAGCGGCTGCGGCCAGCCCCACAGTGCTGTGCTTTAGCTCATCATGCTATCAGGGAGGATCCAGGAAACCGGCTCACTCTTTGGGCCTTCTGTACTTTAGGGTCTCATGGCCCGGCCCTTCCACAGTGGCTGGGAACAGCTCTCAGGTAAAGGGGCTCTGCTGGCTTCAGCCTTGGCTGTGACAGGTGTCTGAACCCAGCTGGCCTGGGACGCCTCATACTTGATCTCAGCTCTTGGGTTCTGTTAGTCATCGCCCTGCACCAGGAGGGGGAGCTGGAGTCTGGGCCTGGCTGCTTGATGCCCAGACTGGCAGGAATGTGTATCCTAGTTCCTGCCTGTGGTTTGACGAGGTGCCTGATGGCAAGCTGAATCCTGCCTCCTGTTACTCAAGAACTGAAGAGGAACCCTAGCCAACAATTGCCTAAAAATAGCCAGCTGTACTTTTCCAGGTCCCAGAGCCTGCTTGTAGAGACCAAGAGCCCCCCACGCCCACCCCGGTGCCCACCAGGTCCCCTGCCCTACCCCCTGGAGGCTCCTTTGTTCCTTTTCTCCCCACACCCAGCCTCATGGCTTTAGCCTCACAGGCGCTCCTGACCAGCCTCGGCTGCTTCTTCCCAGGCCTGTGCCACCTGCCCCGGGGGCCGGGCTCTTCCCGCTGCCCTGCCCCTGCCCCGCCACTGCCCCTCGCCTGTGCCTTGTTCCTCAGGTGCCCCTCTACCCTGAGCTGCGCCGCCTGCTCCCCTGTAGCGGTCAGGGCTCCCTGCGCCTTCACAGCGTGCAGCCTTCCTGCTCAGGGCACACTTGTCTGTTGTGGCTTCTGCTCGCTCGGCACAAAGCGGGTCTTACCTGGCAGGTCTCAGACGCTGGAGGTCACGCCAAGGTGGCCTTGGTGCCAGGCAGGGAAGGTGCTGGTGCCGCTGTGGCCCTGCCTCCATAGGACACTTTCCCTTTTCCCACCTTCTTGGCTGCTTGTGGGCTACAAGCTGCCCCCAGAGGCTGGCCACACCCCCGTGGCCTAGCACTGCCCACTGGTTGTGGGGAAGGCGCATGGTGCCCATGTGGGGCCTTCTGAGGACTGGCACTTAACATGCTCTGGGCTCAGCCCCTGCTGCGGGCTTATATCAGTCAGCATATGGTTTGTGGTGCTCACGGTCCAGTGCAGGGCAGCAGAAGTCCAGGCTCAGGAGCCTTGGCTCCTCTCAGGGCTTCTCAGCAGCTTTTGCCTACCAGGTGGTGGTTCCAGCTCCTTGACTGGTTCGAGATGAGCCGGCTTCAGTCTCCCCGATGAGGGCTTGCTTCCTGGAGAGCTCCCTCTCCCCTCCGTCTGGAGGACATGTGGCCTGGGGGCAGGGGCAGGGGTCATCCAGGAAATACCTGATGAGGCAGGGCCATGGGGACAGCTGTGCTGTTGGCCCAAGACCAGAGTGTCTCATGGCCTCCCTGTGGAGTGGCTGACCTCAGGCCCGCATCCTGTGTCTTCCCTCCTTTCCCCTCAGGCAGTTCTCCACAGGTAGGGTCTTGTTCTGCTGGGTCCAGTCATGGGTCCTGGGCAGGGAGTCGGGACTAGAAGGCCAGGCTAACGCTGGTGCACCGTTGACTCGCATGTAGGCTGGCTTCAACCGCCACGCTCCTGGGCTGGCTTCTTGGCCTGCCTGTGCTGAGAACAGCCGTGGTGAGCAAGGAGGCGAGTTTCAGGACAGGGGCCGTTTCCTTGCCTCCACGAAGCCAAAGCCAGGCAGTGGCGCAGTGGCCTGAAGCAGAATGACTTCGACAGGAAACTTGGAAGGCAAGAGAGAGGCCAGTCACATCGGGGAGGACCTCTTCTGGGGTCATCAGGACCTTACCCCAGCTGCAGAAGACTTGGAGAACCCCCCAGAACTGAGTGGATGGCCAGCCTCGCCACTCTGACTTTTTTTTTTTTTTTTTAAAGATTTATTTATTTTTGCATACAGAACTGGGGTACAGGCCAGAGGCTCAGGGGCGGTGAGAGGCTTCACCAGAGACAGAGTGGGGAGCAGAACAGGCAGATCGAGGAAGTACACTGCTGAGGGGAGCAGCGGGCGGGTCAGGAGAGGTCTGCCACGCCATGTGGTCACCTCCGGAGCAGGCGGGAATCGAACTCATGCGGAAGCGGCTTTAGATTCTCAGTGCTGTGCTTTAACCCGCTGCGCCACCAGGGAGGGCCACTCTGGCTTTTTTTAGGGAAAGGACGGGGCAACACGAGCAAAGGGGAAAGCGTGCAGGTGTGTCTGGTGCCCAGCGTGGGCTTCCAGAGCTCTTCCCCCGGGGCTGCGCATTGCTTCCTCCCGCAATGAGCCAACACGGCCTGTAGGCAGGCTGGTCTCCGGAGGCTCACAGGGGTTCAGTGCCTAGGGTGCTCACTGGGGGCGGCCATGTAGGCGTCTCTGCCTGGTGGGGCCCAGATCCAGAGCAGGTGCTGGGTGTGGACCATGTGTTTGCACAGATGGGTTAGGGCCGGGAGCCCTGTTAATGAGGTGGCAGGAAGCCCTCAAAACCCAATAGCCAGACAATAGTCGAGGGGCTGCCTGGCTGCCAGCCTTCCCGAAGATACCACACCTGTGGTGGTTCCCCTGCTTCCACAGTTGCTTGGTGGCAGGCCGGAGGCTTCAGTACCGTGGGACAGGCTCCTCTTCCTTTGCATCCTGAGAGGTGCTCTGAGCAGGCTCTGGGCCCCGCTTGCGCTGTGAGGAGGTGGGGGGGTTACTCCTGGTGTCCGAGCACCACTTCCCCGCCCTGGCTGTGCCTGTGCTGGGCCGTTCTCATCAGGGGATACTCGCGCAGTGTGGCCTCGTGTGTCTGACTGGTCTCCCCGAGCATCACGTGTTCAAGGCTCCTCCCTGGTAGCAAGTGTTGGAGCGGCCCCCTTTCGTGTGTGAATGACACCCCGGCGTACATCGTTTGTCCATTTATTCATTCATGACACTCGAGCTGTATGCGCTGTCTCGTGGTTGGGAGTTGTGCTGTTGCGGACGTGTATTTTCCGTTCTCTCGGCCAGACGTCGAGGAGTGGTGCTGATGGCCTTTGTGAAGAATTATAAAACCAGACTTCTGTTTGTGTATATTATGCTCTGGGCAAGCGGCTTAATAAGAACTATGTCCCTTGAACAGATTTGACCCTGAGGAGAATGCCATTCGTCTGTTACTAACATAACCGAGTAGGTGCTGGGGTTGCTGGGGCAGCGTTGTTCTTAGGAAATGAGGCAGGGGAACCCGAGGTCAGGCGGCCACTGTCGAGAGCCCTCCTGTCCTGCGGCGTTGTGCTGCCGGAGGCGACCACGTGGTGTGTCGCCTGGGCGGTGTGTGCTCCCAGTGCTGCTGCAGGCCTGAGGGGCCTCCCCATCTTCACCTGCTGCTCCAGAGCAGCCTCCTGGCTGGGTGCTGACCACACCTTGGGGGCGCCCTGCTGGCCGCCACTGGTCATCTGTGTGGATGTGGTGCCATGTCCTTCTGGAGGCTTCTCCAGTGTGGCTCAAGTGCTCTTAGCCCTCTTTGCTCCCTGGTCCCTGTGTCTTGCCCCCAGGATGACTCTGGAGCTCCGGGCCTCTCCCAGCAGAGAAGTGGCCACAGGTGTGGTGTGGGAGCTTCTGATCTGTTGTTCCAGTTGGTCCCCCACCGTCCCTTCCTCCCCGTAGAGCTGCCATGGTGTTACCTTGTCCTTCCCACCTCAGCAACTTTGCTCATTTCATCTTTTTGCCGGGTGGGGCAGGGTGGAGGGCAGAGATGCCCAGTGAGACCCGCTGAATAAGCGCTGTACACATTGTCTTCTTGCAGCTGGAAAGAGGCGATTTTCTCTCAGAAGAGTGGAGAGAGCGGATCGCAAACACAAGGTATGTCTAGGGCGAGTGGGCACGTGGGTGGGGGCAGCACAGCACAGGAGGAAGGTTGCCAGAGGACCCTGAGGGGGCCTTGGTGGTCAGCCTGGCTTCTTTGCAGCACAGAGCTGGAGGCAGTGGAGGGTCCTGCTTTCCCCCGGGTCCCTCAGGGAGTCTCTGGGCCTGCTGCCCGGGGGACATGGTGTGGGCCAGGCTCCTGTGACCAGTGAGTGACAAGGTGCTCTCTCCATGCTGTGGCCCCTCCCCCCGCTCGGTCTGGCACCTGGGTGGTTCTCCTGGTGCCCTGTGGTAGCCTCTCCTCTCGCTCACGCCCTGCGCTGGCTGGCCACTGAGCTCCCCCACAGCAGTGGCCGTCTCTACCCTTGAGGCCAGGCCCCCCACCTGGACTGTCCATTGAGCCTGGAGTGTGCTACAGGGCCCTTCCCTGCTCACTTGGGGGTGTTCACAGAGTAGGGGTGCTCATATGGGGTGGGGTGCCTGCATAGGGGGTATTCACACTGGGGTTCTCCCATGGGCTAGAGGTACCCTCAAGTTTTGGGACCCCTATGCAGGAGTGCTTGCACAGGGGTGCTCACACAGGTGCTCATGTGAGGTGGCGATGCTCCTGTTGCTTACGTGGGGGTGCCCTCATGGTGCTCACATCGGGTAAGGTTCTTCTTATGGGACACTTACCATCGACCCTCCTGAGGCTGGGGGCACCCACACTTGGGGGTACCTCAGCGGGTGGGGCTCCCGCAGCGCGGTGCTCATGGGTGAGTGCCTCTGCAGGCCTCCCTGCTCTGCGTTCACCTTGCGCGCGGCTGCGTGCTCTGTCTGCACGGGATTCTCGGGGCAGGAAAAGAGCGAGCGCCCAGCGTCTAGGTGTGTTCCGTCTGCTGCTGCCCTAGGATGTCTTGGCCTCGTCTTTCTTCTCTTGCCAGGAGCACGTCCCCTGCGAATTTCTCACCCAGTCAGACCCACTGTGCCCTTTGACCAGGTCTTCCCCTTCCCTTGAGAGGACTCCTCTCACCCCATCGAGGGGGCCCCGGGTGGCGCCTCTGCCGTGGGCGGCCAGGCCGCGGGCAGCCAGTCGCCACCCTGGCCAGCGGCACGCAGGGTGTGCACGTGCCCTTGCCCGTGGGCTCTCCTTGACCACTGTCTGCCTGACTGCAAGTTGCCCAGGCCCCACCCTGTGCACTGAGGGCCCTCTTCTGGGGTCGCCATGGCCAGGCCTGGGAGACGGGAGGGCGGCCCAGCTGCTCTGTTTGCTTTGCTTCACCTGCCTCAGGTTGCCTCTGACGCTGCGTGCCTCAGAGCCTCCTGCTCCAGCCAGTCTTGGGGCTTTTCCTGGCTCACACCTTCTCACGGCCACTGTCCCCCGAGACTCTGGGCCCACTCAAGGTGTCATGTGGGTGCGGGCTGCCCTGGGACCTGGCCAGGTGAGCTCGGTGGACTGCAGGAGAGTGCCAGTCCTCTTCAGCGCGTCTGTCCCGGGGGCCTTGCTTCGTCCTGTCTGTTGCACTGTCAGGCCTCTTCCGCCCCCTGTGCCTGCTGCTGTGAGAGCTTCCGGTCACAGTCAGAAGAGGCAGTGACCGTCGCTCTGCAGACCTGCCCTCCAGGCTCAGCTCTGCCCCTCAGAGGTCTAGACACTTGGGAGGGACCTGAGCCCCACGGCACGATGCCCAGGGTAGCCTGGCTCCTCTTAGTGTCACATGCACCGGCTGCATGGTTGTTTCCCGAGGCTAGCCCTCAGAGAATTCGTTTCAGTTGGCAAGAACCAGGCCAGGATGGGTGGGGGTGAGGGAGCAGGAAGTGGGTGGGCAGTGGTGGCTCCATGGTGCAGAGCAGTAGCCCCTGACTACCCTGGCAAGCCGCAGTCGACGAGGTGCCTGACGCAGTTTGGTGGCAGACGTGGAAAGGGAGAGAAAACCGTCCAGGCGCTTGGCTGTGGCCAGTGGTGGTCTCTGCTCACACGTGGCTCTCCCCAGGCACCGTGCCTTCCCGCCCGGGTGTCTGGCCGTCGCTACTTCAGGATATCCAAGGGCAGATGGGCGCCGCCAGCCCGTCGATGCAGGAAGTGGGGTGGGGAGGGGCAGCAGGACCTGGGGCCACCTTGGCCAGCACATGGCCATCTTGGCTCTTTGTAGTTGCCATGAGAAATTTCTGAATTGTTGAGGCGGCAGCAGGCTGGGCAGCCTGTCATGCTCTGCGGGGCCAGGGACTGTCCCAGGTGGGCAGAGGTGGGAGCAGCAGAGCCGCGGCGACGGCCGGGGGGGGCGGCGGTGTGGGCGCAGGTGGCAAGTGGCAGCTAGGCCTGCCGGCACCGTGCTGGCAGAGGCGCGCGGGCGTGTGTGTGTTGCAACTCGGTGTGCTGCACTGGCACTTCACTTACTGAACTGGAATATTGTTTTGCAGTGTTATATTTGTGAATAACTTTGCCTTTGGTCCTGAGGTGGATCACCAGCTGAAGGAGCGATTCGCAAACATGAAGGAAGGTAATGTGCCCTCTGTCATCCGCCCGCGCGGCGTGGCTGCGTGCTTCTCGGGAGCGCTGGCACCATCGGTGGTGTATCTGATGAGGCGGCCCCAGGCAGGGGCTCCTTCTCACGCGGCGGGGCGACCCTCCACACTAACTGGGGCTGGTGGAGCCAGGTTGCACCCATCTGCTCAGGCACCTGGGTGGGGTGGCCGGATGAACAGGTGAGTACCTGTGGCCCAGGAGGGTACTCACTGTCCAGGCCGGCCCCTGGGCGCATGGTCTTTCTGGTTGGGACGCCCACTGCCCTCTTCCTTCTGCCTCAGCACCAGTGTGGCCTGGATGGGCATCGGGCCAGGCCAGGGGTGGGACCGCCTTCCTGTGTGGAGTCTCAGCCATGGCCCTGGTTACCCAGCTGCCCGGCCCCTGGTGCGACTTGCAAGCCACAGTTCTCGTTGTCCCCTACAGACTTCTTATGGCTAGGGAGGCTTTGTTTCGTTGCCGTGAAAGCCCTCCGTTTGGAATTGAGCTGCTGCTTATCGTGACACGGGTCCTTCTGTTGGGATTTGGCCCGAACCTTGGGGGCGGGTAGGGGATGGGGGGTGCTTAGTATTGAAAATCCTGCCACTGCCCAGCCAGGCCGGGCAGGCAGAGGGCTCAGGGTTGAGCTCCTTCGTGTGACCTTGAACCACCCCAGCCCAACTTTCCTCTCTGAGAACCCCATGGTCCCCTGTTGGGTCAGCCTCCGAGCCCCTCAGAGCCTGGGGGCGGGGGGGGGGTGCTGCTCTGTTACCTTCCCTAAAGACAGGGTGGAAGCCATGAAGCTCAGGGTGCTCGGGGTGAAGCGGCTCTAGGCCCAGTGACGTGTGAGCTCACTCCTTGTTCTGTCCTGGACCCACTGCATCCCACGCACTCAGAAAGCCAGACAGACACGAGCACATTGCTAGAATGTTCTAGTTCTACTTGAACACCCATCCCAGATTTTGTAACCACCGTTGGGTCCCCTGTGTGGGGTTGTGACTCAGTTCCGGGAAAGGGAAGCCCCAAGAGCTGACCTCTCCTAGCACAGGCTGCTGGACCCTGTTTCGGGTGCTGCGGGCAGACCCCAAACCTCACGTGTCTGTTCCCGTGTTGCTCAGCAGTGCTCTCCACTCCCCCGCCTGTCTTCCCCCTTCTCCCTGGGGAAGGTCAGGATCTCCCAGAGGGCAGTAAGGCCTGGGGTCACCAGACCCACTCCGCTGAGATCTGGGCCTTCACCGAACATGAAGCCCTGGTCAGGAACGTGGAAACGAGTCTACTGCTGTGCATTCCAGCTGCCAGCCAAGGGCTGGGCCCACGGTGCCCGCTGCCTGGGCTGTGTGCTCGCCTCCACTGCGTGGCTGGGTGCTGCCTGGAGTGGACAACACTCCAGAGGATGGTGACGTCAAGGGGGCATCAAAGCTGAAGGACTTCTCAGATCAGCCCTGAGCAAATGAGGGCCCAAAAACAACGTGTAGAGGCTGCAGAAAGAAGTGTCCTCACAGCTCATACCTGACGCCTGCCTGCCTCTGGTGTGCAGGGGATGGGCCCTGTGTCCCTCAGCGTGGCCTTGGCCCGTGTATACCCTGGGGTCAGCGCCCCATGCCTGGGTGCTCTGGTTCCTGCATGTTCAGGGGAGCCCACAGGTGTCTGCCTACTTCCTGAGTATGTCCCCTGGCATAGGGGGGTCACCTCCCTTTAGCAGGCTCCAGAACATGTCCTTCCTCCCCGTTAGAGTGGCTTCCAGAGCCTACTGCTGTCATTCTAAATTTCAGGCAAGCCTAAACCTACATCTGCCCCAGGGGCTCCTGGGTGGGGAAGGCCTCTCTGCCTGGTCCCAGCTTTTGAACATACTTCAAGTAAGTGCCAGAGTTGAAGTCGCATGCAGCGCAGACCCAGGGAGTTTCCAGCTGTCGCAGCGCGAGTGTGAGCACTGGGAGCGGAGCGCACATGCGTGCCGCTGGGGGCGCGTCCTCCCTGTTTCAGGAGAAGGTGTCGCGCGCTCCGCCCTGACCGTGTCCCATCTCTAGGGTCAGGCCCCCGGAATGCTGCCTTTGGCTACTTCTTTCTGCAGCCTCTACACGTTGTTTTTGGGCCCTCAGTTGCTCAGGGCTGATCTGAGAAGTCCTTCAGCTTTGATGCCCCCTTGACGTCACCATCCCCTGGAGTGTTGTCCACTCTGGCTGCACCTCCACAGCGAGCTGACCTTCCCCTTCCATGTCCTGCTGGGGAGCCGGCTGGGTGGAACCGTCTGCCTGGCCTGTGGTCGCTCACTGTGTGGCCCTTCAGTGGCGCCCTAGTGGTGCAGACATGGCGGGTGGTGGTCGGGTCAGAGCACGCAGTGAGCCTGAGGGTTCTGTGCCTGCCACGACGCCTGGAGCCCTCCAGCTGCGGCCCTGCCTGCTCTGGCCCCAGCAGCCCAGCCGGGGGCCCTCTCCCTCCCCCAGTGGGGATGGCGAAGGAGCCAGCGTGGATGCTGGGGCCCGGGGGCATTCCCAGCGCAGGGGTTCTCATGGGCGTGTGTGTGCCACCGAGGTGGCTTCACCCAGTTCTTCCAATTTAAATGTAATCTCTGTCGGTTCTTAGATTTGGTCTTTTTCTCCTTACCCGGAGAGGTTTGGCTCCTACCAGCGTTCATCTTTTGCTGCCCCAGTGCTTTCTTGCGCGCACACGACACAGTCCTGCCACGTGCCAAGCTGCGCTGCCAGCAGACTCGGCGTGCAGGAAGAGCGCTCTCAGTTGCGTGCTGAGGGGCTATCTGGCTTTGGCTGGGGGTGCGGCTCCTCCCTTTCAGGCGGCGCCCTGAGTGCTGCTTGTGTCTGTCAGCACCAGCATCGACGGGGGCCGGCTGCCCCCGCCTCTGCCTGGCACTGCTGCCCGGGCAGCCAGCCGTGTCTGGGCGTAGGGAGCCCGCGGCGGGCATGCTGCGTCGCCTCACGGCCATGGGCGGCGGCGCCTTGGGTGTGTGGCAGAGGAGAGCGACGTGCAGTTGTCCCGAGTTTTGCTTCTACTTGAGGAAACACAGGACCCAGAAGTCCTGCACTCCTCTGCGCGCTGTGCGCTCGTTTCTGTTTCTGTAGCTTTTCCTTTCTTCCATTCAAATTGCATTTTCATTTTGTGGCCACAGATACTTCCCCGTGAGTGGTGATAATCGGGTTTTCTGTTTCAGGTGGCAGAATTGTGTCCTCAAAGCCCTTTGCCCCGCTAAACTTCAGAATCAACAGCAGGAACTTGAGTGGTAAGAAACTGGCATTGCTGTTACTGCGGTGTAGCTTGGAGCGTCGGGCGCGAGTGGTGCAGAGTCCCCCCTTTACACCCCTGAGGGCGCCGGGAGCATCGCTGCCCCGACCTAGTGCTAAGAGAAGAACGTCCTGGTGTGACACGGCTGTCCCAGATGTTGCCTAGTGCCCCAGGGTAGGAGTGTGACACCTCCGCCACCTACCCGGTGGCAGGTTGTAAAGACAGAGGAGTTTTCACAAAGCTGCTCCCACACCGCTTGGCCTGAGTGGGCAGCGGCCGGTGGTGCAGAGAGGGGGAGCGGCCCTCCTGGGGGCCGAGGTGATGTCTTCCACGAAGGCAGGGGGGAGGCAGGGTCTGTCGTGTGGGGTGCAGCATTCACGGTCTCCCGTGCCAGCTGTCCACCCACCCATTGGCCCGTCGTGACCCGGGATGAGCACCTTGGGTCGACGGGACTGCTGTCGGGCGTGCGCTGCGCCTGGCCGGTGCCTCCTGGCCTGAGCCCAGGCGCCGTGTAGGGGCTGCGCTGCGTCCCCAGCCTGCCTGCCAGCAGCAGCGTGTCGGCCCCTCCTGAGGATGCCCTGATAGGACGCCACAGGAAGCGGCCCTCGCGAGCCTCCCGCTGGCGAAGGCCCGGCCTGACCCCAGCCTCTCTGTGCAGACATCGGCACCATCATGCGCGTGGTGGAGCTGTCGCCGCTGAAGGGCTCCGTGTCCTGGACGGGGAAGCCGGTCTCCTACTACCTGCACACCATTGACCGCACCATAGTGAGTGTCCCTGCCGCGCCCCACTGCGGATGCAAGCTGGGCGGGTGAGGGGCAGGCAGGCGCGGGCTGTTCGCCTGGCTCCCGTTGTGCGCCCGGATCTTGTGTAGGCACACGCGCCCCAGGTGGCACAGCGCCTGTCTTTCTTTTTTCTCAGCAACCATAGAAACGGCTAGTTAGCACTAAGTTCAGGAGGTCGCCGTCCAGCTCGGGGGAAGTTGATAATGTTGGTGCAAGTTTTCTCAGAATATTTATGCAGACAGAACTGGGGTACAGGCCGGAGGTGCAGGGGTGGTGAGAGGCTTCACCATAGTCCAAGTGGGGAGCAGAACAGGAAGACTGACTGAAATCCACTGCTGAGGGCAAGACTGGAGAGGTCTGCTGCGCCTCGTGGGTCACCTCCCAGGCGGGGATCAAACTCGCACCCAAGCTGGCCTGGGCCAGCTTCGCAGGGCTGTACTTTAATCCGCTGCACCACAGGGAGGCCCAGAATACTGTTGCCATTTTGCAGTCAGTAACCTGGAATGCTTGGCATAGGGCAGCTTCACCTTCCTCTACTTCATGTTGCTTAATCTCTTTATACATTTAAGTTTAGTAAGGAGCAAAGGTTCTGAGTGGAAGTTGGCTTTGTCAGAAATGCTTTGAAGTATTTATTCTAAAGTTCTGTGGCACAAAGACACAGACTTGCACACGTAAATGCCCTCAGACCTTGGGGACCTTCTCAGTCAGTACTGGCTTAAAAAAAAAACAAACGTAAGTGCTTCTAGTTGTCTGTATGTCAGGTCCTGAGAGACAGGTTTACAATGTTAGAGCCTTCACTCCAGCAGTCCTCTGGAATCCGGCTAAATAATCAAAATTCTCTACTTGGTGCTAAAAGGGATTTCAAAAAACCAAACTTCATTCTGTATAATCTCTGCCCACTGTGATCTCACTTAAAATGTTATCTTGTTTATTTAAAGTATTTATTTTTAAGATTTCTTGGGTACAGGCCAGGTGTGGGGGATGAGAGGATTCATTCCCCAGAGACAGAGTGGGGAGCAGAACAGGTGGATCTACTGAAATACAATGCTGAGGGGAGCAACAGGGAGACAGGGGAGGTCTGCTGCGCCCTGTGGTTCAGCTCCCTGGCTGGGGATCGAACTTGCGCTGCAGTGGCTGCAGACAGCTTCACAGTGCTACACTTTAACCTGTTGCGCCACCAGAAAGGGCCCTCACTTACAAATTTATTGAAAAGAAAGCACAAAAGCAAATATATCCTAAGGCTAGATGAAATAAGTAAAAATAGAACAAAGAGTTAGCACAGAGTGGTGGGATACATTTAAAAAGGAAATTAGGAAGACAGTTTTGCCAATCATTAGTTCACTCTGTGACTTGGTTTCCAAATCAATAAAAAACGGGCAAGGTAAGACCTACCCTGTAGCGTGGCTGCGACCATACAGGTCATAGAGAACACAGATGGCCTCAAAGGAGAAGGAGAGTTGCATTCCTGTATACTTGTCCACCTGGAAGACGTGAGCTGCCCGTGGCCCACGGGGTCTGGTGAATGGAGGACCAGATGGCCGCTGTGTGTGTCATCAAGTGTTGTATCCAGGACCGACTGCTAATGCGAAGTTTTCTTTTTCCATTTTTAGCTTGAAAACTATTTTTCTAGCCTGAAAAATCCAAAACTCAGGGTAAGAGCGTTTTGCCTTCACTTTATACCATGGGTGCGCTGCTTCATGGACGCTTAGTAGGGTTCCATATGGCGTGCGGGGGTGAGGGCATGGGTGCTGCGGCCCCCTTGGGCCTGCTGTGCTCCTGGCCGGGCCTTGCTTCTTGTGAGCAACATTTGGGAAATAGGTCTCCAGAAATCCTCCGGTGACTGGGCAGTGTGTTTGATGCCTAGGACCGTGGCCTGTGCGTGTTGGGCTGCGCTGCTGCGGCGGCAGCCGCGGGTCACAGGGCTCGGTGGCCGGCTCCTGGCCCTGCAGGGCTCCCTCTCAGGCCGAGCTTCTCCGCGCCTCGGCCTCCTGTTGTCTCGCCCCCGAGGCTGAGAGGATGTCTGTCCAGTGCTTTTCTTTTTGGACACTCAGGCTGGCGTCTCTCACTCTTAAGAATGTAAACATAGACTGTGTGCACAAAACGTGCCATGGTGGGTGCCCAGGCCCCTTGGGACCCTGTACCCTGTCTGATTTTATCTCCTGGTGCATGGTGAGAGGGCTGCTTGGGCTCTTGCTGCAAGATCCGGGGCGTCTGTGCTCACACACAGCAGACACGCACATAGCTCTTTGGGACCCACACGAGGCCCCCTTTCCAGGAGGAACAAGAGGCAGCTCGGCGACGGCAGCAGCGAGAAAGCAAGAGTAACACGACCACGCCCACCAAGGTGCCCGAAAGCAAGGCGGCCATACCCGCGGACACCCCTCTGGTGAGTGCACCCCGCACCCTGCCCGGCCGGCGGGGGTGACGACAGGAGTGTGCGGGGGTCAGTGTGCCAGGCAGGTTCCCTGCTGCCAGTGTGGGTGGGTCCTTCCCAGGACGGGTCACGTGTCACTGTCCCTCTGCCCACTAGGACTCTGGTGGCGAGGAGGAGAAAGCTGGGACGACGTCTGTCAAAAAGCCATCTCCCTCCAAAGCTCGGAAGAAGAAGCTAAACAAGAAAGGCCGGAAGATGGCTGGCCGGAAGCGCGGGCGCCCCAAGAAGATGAGCGCCGCTAACCCTGAGCGCAAGCCCAGGAAGAACCAACCTGCACTGGGCCTCCCGCACGCGCAGGCGGCGCCCCAGACGGCGTCGCCCTCGCCGCAGGGTGAGCCCGCCGCAGCCCGCTTGCTCTCCCGAGCCCCGCCCTCGCTCTGCACTGGGGCTCTCCGACACCCTTGCTCTTCCGTCTATCCCGTGTGACTCACTGGGGTGGCGCTGCAGAGGGCGGAAGCCATGGTGATGCTGTCACTGGCTGCCTGTTGGAGCCTGGGTTCTGCCCTGCTCTGGTCGAGGTGCCCAGGGTTTTCACTCCCGTCTTCTTGAGAGGAGAGTGGGTCCCGGGTCAGCTCCCCTGCACCGCGCGCCTGCCTGGCTCAATAACAAAAGCAGGATACACTGGGCGGGTGACTTGGGGTTAGAACCGCCGGGGGCGGTGTTGGGACGATCCAAGCTGTAAGGAGTCTCACCTTGAAAGTGGTGGGAGTCTTGTGGTACTCTCTGGCACACTGTGGGTCAGTGCGACCGGAATGCTGCTGTCTCCACAGATGCGTACAAGTCACCTCACAGCCCATTTTATCAGCTACCTCCCAGTGTGCAGCGGCATCCTCCTGACCAGCTGCTGCTGGCCCCCACTCCCCCCGCACTGCAGAAGCTGCTAGGTGAGTGGGCTCGGGGGCCTCAGGTCCAGAGGGGTGGGCGTGCTGCACGAGCTGTGACGAGGAGGTAGTGCATCGGAAGCCATGGCTCCAGCCCCCGGGGATGCTGTGCCAGGTCTGAGGGCTTCTGTGTGTGGTCCTAGGGCGGGCAGTCTCCTAGGATAGAGTGGGGGGCCAGGGCTGCTGCCACACACCCCACAATGCCTGGAAGCCTGCAGCCCCCTCCGGAGAGCAGCCTGGCCGAGTGCCCACACTGCATGAAAGGAGTCTGTCAAGAAGGGCTCGGTACCCCTCGGGAGCAGGACTGTCTTGCCTAAGCCAGGCTTTTGCTCACACTGCAGAGGTTGGTTGACACGGTTCTTAGCACTTTAAAACTTCTCTTCAAATTCTGGAAAAATTCATTTTTCAAGTAAACATGGATTATATATATATATTGAGGAAATGTAGCCTACTTGACACTCAACCCAGAACCTTGAAGGGCACCAGGCCTGCCCTCCTGCTGGACAGTTGAGGTCCCATTGTTTCTCTCAAGTGGGGAAATAGCTGGGGACAGAGTCCCTCAGATCTTGACAGCAGTGAAGACTCATTTCATTGACATCTGACTGTGGCAGTCAGATTTCAGTAAAGATGGGGTCCCCCACTTACATTTACGATGTGCTCCCTTGATGACCTAATTTGGACCATTGCTGCATTAAAACCATGTTCCTTGGCTTTCCCAGAATCCTTCAAGATTCAGTACTTACAGTTCTTGGCATACACAAAGACGCCTCAGTACAGAGCCACCCTGCAGCAGCTGCTGGACCAGGAGAAGGTGAGCCCGGCAGTCGCAGTCCCCAGGAGGGGTTCCACTTTACTCCCTCGTGGCTTGAGACTTCAGCATTCTCTGGAAGGGCTGAGAGGAGTGTGCCTGAGGGCTCTCCCTGGCCCCACGGGCTGGCCACCACTGACCCCCGTCCCTGTCATCTTGCTGCTTGACAGTGGGCTGGCCTGGCTTCTGCTGTTTCTGCACAGGGCCCCTTTGTTCCTTGCTCGGGGTCCTCCCAGACCTGTCCACCCCGAAAAGAGACACCGTCACCTGCAGGATGAGAGAAGCTCCGAGGTGTCTCCGAGTCACGTGCAGTCTCACTGCTGCAGCTGGTGCTGTGGGCAGTAGCTGTCCGTGGCCAGGCCAGGGGCAGAGAGCGTGTCCTCTCTGGCTTCCAAGGGTGGAAGTTGATCTCTGAGGCCCCTTGTATGTTCATCACTTACACTGCATCCCTGGCACCACCTTGGGTACATCCAGACAGGCTGGCTGTCGCCGGCAGCATAGCAGGCGGCAAGGCCTCGCTTGCTGGAGTGCAGCTTTCTTCATCAGCCAGACCGGTTCTGCACCACTCAGACGTGCAGAATGGCCTGCATTTGAGGTGTTGGGGTGAGAGGCGGCCTGGGTGCCCCCCGCCCCCACGGTGCCACCTCGGTCTCTGTAGGAAAAGAATGCCCGGCTGCTGGGTGCAGCGCAGCAGCTCTTCGGCCACTGCCAGGCCCAGAAGGAGGAGATCAAGAGACTCTTCCAGCAGAAGCTGGACGAGGTGAGACCTTCCACAGCCAGGCTTGCCATGAAAGCGGTGGTCCCAGAGTGGGATGGCCGGGTGGTGGAGGGGTGGGTTTCCTCTCCAGCGCTCCTGCCTTGAGAGGCTCCTGCTGGGTTGGCCCAGGCCTGGGGTTGCGGGTAGGGGCTGTTTTCGGTCAGTTGGGTGGCATCCCTTCTGTCCCAGGTGTGTCCAGGCACAAGAAAGCTGGGCTCTAGGCCACTGGGGCCTGGCCCACTGGCCCTCGTTGGCAAAAGCTCACCCGCTGTTCTGTGTCCTCAGTTGGGAGTGAAGGCCCTGACCTACAACGACCTGATCCAAGCACAGAAGGAGATCTCAGCTCACAACCAGCAGCTGAGGGAGCAGACAGAGCAGCTGGAGAAGGACAACCGGGCACTGCGGGGCCAGAGCCTGCAGCTGGTGTGTGCCAGGGTGGGCACTGGAGGGGGAGGGGTGAGCCCATCTCCCCCAGAACCATCTCGGGGAGGAAGCAGGCCCTGCTGCCGGGCAGTTCAGGGCCCCCCGGCCCTCCTTCAGTGGCTTGGGGCTCATGGCTTTGTTGTCTCATGCCCACAGCTCAAGGCTCGGTGTGAGGAGTTGAAGCTCGACTGGTCCACGCTGTCCCTGGAGAATCTGCTGAAGGAGAAGCAGGCGCTGAAGAGCCAGATCTCCGAGAAGCAGAGGCACTGCCTGGAGCTGCAGGTAGGGCCAGGCGGACCGGTGGTGTCAGGATGAGACATGTGTCGCAGACTCACCGGAGTGTCTTCCTGAAGGTGGTGTTAGTTGTAGGGGTCGCCACCACGGCCTAGGTGTGTGCACAGCAGCGCTGGAAGAGGAGGCGCTGAGGACGTGACCACGCTCACCCTCCCCAGGTTCCCAGACCCCTGGTCTCCTGAACACTGCTAGGGAGCCCGCGCCCAGACAGCCGCTGAGACTTGTATTGCACTTAGAGTAGCGGCTCCCTTTAGCTGGAAAGAAAGTGTATTCCTGGAGGTCGCCTAGGAGAGTGAGGAGGGAGAGAGCCTAACATCCCCAGTGTGCTTGGCTTCCCTGTGTGTAGCTTTTAAGTTACACAAAATGGGGGGCCATGCCTTCTGTTCCATTTTCTGTCTCCTCGCCCCCCAAAACCAGTGCTCCTTCAGGCACTGACTGGACGCAGTGCCGAGCAGTGAGGCTCTCTGTGCCCAGGCCCCCATGCCCAGGGCCGCGCTGAGTGCTTACAGGTTCGAACACAGTCCAGGTTGTTTTCTGATGGGTGGTGACTAGAGGTCTCCCGCCCACTTCTTCCTTCCCTGTGCTGTTTCAGAAAAAAGGAGCTTGCTGGCCTTACTCCCATGTTTGCCTGTGGGATCAGTCCCACATGGCCAAAAGCAGCTTCTGACCCTTCTGTGTGAGGAAGCAAGAATCCATGTTCACTGCTGGAAACGCCCGTGTGAAACACAGAAGCGCAGAGCAAAAGATGCTCTTTTCCTGCCCCCAGAGGGAAATGCTTTTCCAAGACCCCACTGTTTGGGGCCCACAGGCCTCCTTTACCAGAAGCCCCACACCCTTGGAACCCCGTTTTCCTGGAGGAGTTCTCTCCATGGCGGGCAGCGCCCATTCGGCAGTGTTCTCATGTCGGCCGCGGGGTGCCTGCTGCTCGGGTTCTCTGTCGCGTGCAGCCGCGCTGGAATGCCTGCCAGCCCAGACAGGCCCTTCCAGTGGGTGATGAGCTGTAGTGGGACTGGGCCTTCGGTGGCGATGAGCGTCCTCCCGAAAGCACCCAATGCGCCCCTGTTGCAGATCAGCATTGTAGAGCTGGAGAAGAGCCAGCGGCAGCAGGAGCTTCTTCAGCTCAAGTCCTGCGTGCCACCTGACGACGGCCTGTCCGTGCACCTGCGAGGGAAGGGTGCCCTGGGCCGGGAGCTAGAGACAGAGCCTGGGCGGCTGCACCTCGAGCTCGACTGCTCCAAGTTCTCCCTGCCTCCTTTCAACAGCATGAGCCCCGAACTCTCCATGAATGGCCATGCCGCCGGCTACGACCTCTGTGGCTCGCTGAGCCGGCCCTCATCCAAGCAAAACACCCCCCAGTACCTGGCCTCCCCCTTAGACCAGGAGGTCGTGCCCTGCACACCCAGCCACAGTGTTCGGCCAAGGCTTGAAAAGCTGTCCGGCCTGGCCTTGCCTGACTACACCCGGCTGTCCCCGGCCAAGCTGGTGCTGCGGCGACACCTGAGCCAGGACCACACGGCCGGCGGCAAGGTCACCACGGGCGACGTGCATCCTCGGTGAGTCTGCATCTGGTCCCCAGGTCTGTTCAGTGGGAGTGCATCTGTTTGGAGAGACTGGGACAGTCTCCTAGGCCAGGCCCCCGAACTTCGAAAGCCAAACTACTCCGTGGGGTGCTGCCCCGACAATGACCAAGAAATGCAATTCATTCTAGAGCTGAGCACGCCAAGGAGAACGGTCTCCCATACCAGAGCCCTGGCGTGGCGACCGGCATCAAACTGAGTCCGCAGGATCCGCGGCCCTCCTCCCCAGTGTCCTTGCAGATGGCCGGAGAGAAGGGCAGTGAGAAGGTGAGCAGGGCTCCTGACGCGTCGTCTCCCTAGTCAGAACTGAGCAATCGCGTTAGGAACCGGTGGCCAGGGGTCCAGTGTAGCCTGGAGGGGACGCGGGGCCGAGGTGGGAGGAGCCACCAAGACTGGTGGAAGGTGCAGGATTCTGTGTCCTGGGGAGAGTAGGAGAGCGGCTGTGAGTTCTGAGCCCAGATGGTAGACCACTGAGTGTAAGGATGGACGGGAGAGGGAGGGAGGTGAGGTGAGGGCCTAGTGATTCAGCGGGGTCAGGGGCTGGGGCACGTTGTTTGGGATGCGGACCCGGAGCAGGTGTCTGGGGACTGCAGGTAAGTGGCCATCTGGTGTCTCCTTAGGGGCTGAAGGAGCGTACCTATGGCAGCAGTGGGGAGGCCATCACCAGCCTCCCTGTCAGCATCCCGCTCAGCACCGTGCAGCCCAGCAAGCTGCCCGTCAGCATTCCCCTGGCCAGCGTGGTGCTGCCTAGCAGAGTCGAAAAAGTGGTAAGTGTGTGCCCAGAGCTAGCGTGTCCCAGAGCCACATGGAGGCCAGGAGAATTGTCTTGTCTCTTCCCCTACCCTGGCAGGCCTAGTTCTATTTTATTGGGGTGTTTTGCCTCCCTGCATATCCTTTATGTTTCCCACTCCCTGTAACCTTGGAAGTTTCACGTCATTCATAGCGCTTGCTAGTTACCAGGGACGTTTGGCTTTCTCCTGTCTCTTTACGTCAGCGTCTGTCACTGGCTGTCCTGATGCGCTTTGCTAGGCATAAGCCCCAGTTCCTGCCATTTCACTAAGTGGCAGCGTCCGGCCTGCTTTGTGGCTGAGTAGTGTTCCGGGTGCCGCCCTCCCACACCTGCCAGCCCTGCCCTCAGAAGAACACTGCAGTGGCTGGTGGATAGAGGCCCAAGGGAGGTTGCTGGATTATACAGATTTGTTTTTCCAGATTGCGTTCGTTCCAAAAAGGCTGCCTCAGTTGAAGTCCCTCCAACAGTGTGATAGGGTTGCTCTCTACATCCTCTCCAGCTTGTTATCTCGGGAGTCTTGTTAGTATGCGCCATTCTCATGGGTGTTTTGTGATCATTATGGTTTCTTATCTGTGTAGAAGAACTGGGTACAGGCAGAGGGTGAGAGAAATCACCAGAGATGAGTGGGGAGCAGAACAGACAAACTGACTGAAATATACTGCTGAGGGGAGCAGCAGAGACAGGAGAGGTCTGTGCCTGTGGGTCACTCCCTGGCTGGAGATCCAACTCAGGCCGCCACAGTGAGAGTGCTGAGACTTAACCCCTAGACCTCCAGGGAGGCCCATCATTATGGTTTGACCTTATAAAATCAATGATGGGCATTTTTCCACATGTCTGTTGACCTTCTAGATACCTTCTTTTGTGAATTGTTGCCCACTTATTAATTGGGCGTCTGTTGTATGCTAGTCTGGCAGGATAAGTTCTCCGGGTTGGAAAACTTCTGTGAGTACTTCAGTTAACACTTGCCTGTAAAGTTTACATTGAAAAAATATGTAGACAGTCTGATGCTGTTCCATACAGGTGACTCTTCTTTATCTCTGTGCTTTCATTTATTTATTAATTTAAAGATTTATTTATTTACACATTTAACAACTGGGATGTAGGCCAGAGGTTTAGTTGGGTAAGAGGATTCACCAGAGACAGTGAGGAGCAGAACAGGCAAGATCTGAAATCCACTGCTGAGGGGAGCAGTGGGTGGGACAGGAGGAGTCTACTGTGCCCTGCGGGTCACCTCTCCGGCCAGCCTGCTGGACTTGAACTTGTGCTGCAGTGGCGATAGTTTGATAGCTGTTTCACCCCCTGCACCACCAGGGAGGCCCCTATTTCTGTGCTTTTAATACTTTGTTCTTGTCTTGGCTTACAACCATATATGATGTATCTTGGAACATGTCTGTCTGGTATTATTTTGTTTGGAATTCTTTGGGTTTCTTGTATCAGGAGCTCTGATTAGTTTCCCAAAATGAGGTGTTTCTCAGTAATTATTTCTTTAAATTTTCTGTACCTGTCTCTTATTTGTCTCCTGCGATCACCAGGCTATATATATTGTTTCTGTTTTGCTTACCTCAAAGAGTCTTTAAATTGTTTACATTTTAAAATTCCTTTTTCTTTGTGGTCTGTGTGCTCTAGCACTGCAATTCCAGTCGCTGATATTCCCTGTTATATGAATCGTCTGTTGAGGCTCTCTGTCGTATTTTTAATTCTGTTAATAGTGTTTGTTCGATCCACTAGTAATTTAGCCATTTCCTATTTTCCTCTATTGTATTTCTGTCTTTTATCATCTGTTGTTTTCCTTAATTTACCAGCATGGTTGCAATTTACCTCAAATGCCTTATGAGGTAAAATTGTGCAGTTCTGCTGCATTGACACTTCTCTTGGCATGATAGCCAACATTTTTGCTCCAAAAATATTTTTCTGTCTCTTCGTTTGTAGCTGTTACGGGTACCAGTAGGGTCTTCCCCGTTTGTCATGATAAATTGGCTGTATACCCCAGGTTTTTAGCGTGTGATCTTTGGCACCTGTTACTTCGTAGACTGATGTACCTGTTCAGACGGCTGGACCCTGCCCATGGGAAAGGGTAGCATGCTTCGCTTGCCACACATTTCAAACGTGTGTCGTGCAGCGGTGCCCCGGGGGCCAGCGTCTAACCGAAACGAAGCAGCCTCCATCTCAGCTGTGGCTGGACAGCAGCCATCGCTCTGGGTGAGGATTATAGTTGAGCCAAGGTCACAAGCTGAGAATTGGTCTGTGTTTTTGTTTTGTTTTCCAAGTATCCTGGGATGCGCCATCTTGAAGATCCAGGGCCTGTCACATTGACTGGGGCCCAGGTGCTGGTGGGGCAGGGCCACAGCCCCAGGCGCCCGTTCAAGCCCCGCCCGTTCCTCGGAGCCGCTGCTGGCGTGCACAGCCACCTCGTGCGCCCGCCGCGGATCGTTCCGCAGTGGCGCACCTCTGTTCTCCCATCCTCGGGGTGTGCCCCAGCTTTAGCAGCAGGGCGGGAGCTGCACGCAGGAGCCGCCCCTCCTCCGAGCTGTGCTGGCCACGGAGCGCTCCGAACTGCAGTTAGTTTTTCCTGACCTTTCTTGACCTTTCGGTAGTCTCGATTTGCTGTTATTTTGGCTTTGGTGTAAATTGGTGGTAAATATGTGGAAGAGGCAAGCCTAACCCCTTTCCTCCGCTGCCAACTTGCTGGATTCCCCAGTAATTGTGTTTGCTATTGAATGTGTGCAGGGCCTCCCTGGTGGCGCAGGGGGTTCAATCTCAGTGCTCTGGAGCTGTCCGCAGTCACTGCAGTGCGAGTTCCATCCCCGGCCATGGACGGAGTGACCCACAGGGCAGCAGACCCCACCTGTCACCCCCCGCTCCCCTCAGCAGTGTTTCAGTCAGTCCGCCTGTTCTGCTCCCGACTGTCTCTGGACCCTGCTCTCCTCCCCACACCTCTAGTCTCTACTCCAGTTCTTGCATGCATAAATAAATCTTATTTTTAAAATGCGTGCATAGCTCGTGGCCAGAGGCTAGAACATTCCAAACCTGGTTGGTGTAACATTTTGTCCTTTTTATTTCAAGTCTGATTTTGTAAAAGGCGGTTTGTGTAGGTGGTAGGGAGATAAAACTTCTGTGTTCAGTAGAATTTGTTCCTGAAGCCCATCTTCCTCCCCCTGACACCTGTGGATTTCTGAGTAGTCTCGTATCGTGCAGGCATTTTTACGCCATGCCCCACCCCGTGAAGGGTGGGCGGCAGTGGCCCAGCACTTGCACGCGGCGCCGCCCTTACCTCTGTGTAGCTCCAGACTCTTCGGCCACCCAGTTGGAAGCTGTCAGGCCTATCCGCAGTCAGCCCAGCCCCGGTACCACAGCCTACTTACTGTTTCTCTGGACGTGCCTTTCTGGGCGTTTCTCGTCAGTGGACCGCACCACATGGCCTCCTGTGTTCAGGCCCCTCCCCGTGGTAGCGAATGTCAGAGCTGCCGCCTTTGGGTGACTGAACCATGGTCCAGTACGGGTGGACAAGTTACGTCCTTCCGTTCTCCCAGTTTCCCAGCCCGGACGCTTGAGCTGTCTCCCTTTGGCTGGTGTGCGTTGTGCCACCATATCACGTGTGGGCGCTGTGTGGAAGTGGGGTTTTCTCCAGTGTAGGGTGGGCTCGCTGCGTACGTCATAGACCCGACTGCTCATTGCTGTCCGCCCTGCACCCTGACCCGTCTCTGCCTGAGCGCTTAGGCCCCACACCTGCTCCTCCCCGTTCAGCTCCTCGGGGCGGCACCTGGACAGTCCCCCCCGCCCGCACTCTGCCCTGTGGAGCATGGCCCTCGCCCGCCCGCTGTCTCCTCACCCTGCACTCCCCTTTGTGTCCCGGCGCCCCTAGCCTGCGCTGACGGCCGCCTCCCTGTGTTTTCCCACTGCAGAGGAGCACCCCCAGCCCTGTGCCGCAGACCCGGGAGGCCTCCGCGCTAGACAAGCCGATGAGTGCCAATGCCCATGGGGCTGGGAGCAAGACCTTGGCCTCTGCTCCTTCAGGTAACATTCTCATTCCCAGGGTCAGCCTTCCCACTGGCCCTCGGGGCTCAGAAGCGACCTCACCTCACTGACTCGTGTCTGGGCTGAGCCAGGGCCCTCTGTCAGCTGGCTGTCAGCAGCAGGACAGCCGGCCCTGGGGTGGGGCATGGGCCGGGCCTCAGTGGGTCTCCTGAAGTTGCTGGTACCCTGCTGGCTGTGTTTCACCACGAGGCTGCTGTGGCCTTAATGCTCACTCAGTAGTGGACTTCTGGGGCCCAGCATTCAGTGGGACTAACATTTGGTTTCTGGCATATCCTAGCACTGCAATCCTCAACATACCCACATCTGCTAACACAGGGCCTGCAGCCACTCTCTGCAGGGCCAGGGTCACTAGTGGCTCTGAAGTCACTGGGGTGGGCCTCCGCTGAATTGCTTGGTCCTGCCCTGTGGCAGCATCAGTGCAAGTCCCAGAGCAGGTAGGCACAGCCGATCCCCTAAAACTTCACATTTGTGCCATGCCACCCAACGCAGGGCTGTGCCATAGTTTGTAGGCCCTGTGTGGTGCACAGCCGGTTTGGGCAGCTGTTTCTCCAGGAACAGAGGCTAAGCACAGGCTGTGACCGTCACCTCCACACGCCCTTCTGTCTGGCACCAGGGCAGACTCCCAGCCGCGGTGTTGGGGTCTCGCTCTGTGCCAAAGGCTTGTATCTCTTCAGGTTTCTCGCTGGGTTTGAAAAGCTTCCGGGGTGGGGGAGTGAGGGGGACATGAAGGGGAGTGCAGAGAACTGGGCAAGATCCAAGGCTGTGGTGATCCCATATGGGGGGAGGCATGCTGCATGGGGCCTGCCTCTCCGTCCTCAGTGCCCACCCTTGTCCTGTGGGGAGGTGGGCAGCTGTCATCCAGCAAGGTTGCCAATGACCCTGTGAGTTCTTCGGTGTATGGAAGTCTGGGAGCCAACCATCTGATGAGGGCAGGACTCCCAGCCCTGTCTCTGTTCAGCCCGTTCCCCTCTGGCTCCCAACCAGAAAGCACGGCTGCACTAAGATTCCGCACCAGTCTCACCTTCCCCTCTGAGCACCTGTGTCTTCCCTGCAGGCTTCTCCTATGCTGGCTCGGTGGCCATCAGCGGGGCCCTGGCAGGCAGCCCAGCACCACTGGCATCAGGACCTGAGCCTGCCACCTTTGACGAGTCCTCAAGCTCGGGAAGCCTTTTTGCCACAATGGGGTCCCGCAGCTCCACCCCACAGCACCCTCCGCTGCTGGTGCAGTCCCGCAACTCCGGCTCAGGCTCGCCTGCCCACCAGCTATGCGCTAGTCCTCGGCTCAATGGCACTGCCCAGGGCCTGCTGCCCGAGGCTAGTAAGGGGGACCTTCCCCCAGACGCAGGCTACTCAGACGCAGAGAGTGAAGCCAAGAGGAGGATCATCTTCACCATCTCGGCCGTTCCCAGCAGTGCCAAGCAGTCGCCTTCCAGCAAGCACAGCCCCCTACCATCGGGCGCACGTGCAGACAGTGCACAGAGCCACGGGCAGGACAGCCGCAAGCGAGGCCGGAGGAAGCGGGCCTCGACCGGGACCCCCAGCCTGAGCTCGGGTGTGTCCCCAAAGCGTCGGGCGCTACCATCTGTTGCTGGCCTCTTCACGCAGTCGTCAGGGTCGCCCCTCAACCTCAACTCTATGGTAAGGAGAAGACGGGGTTGGGTGGCATCTGCAGCCCTGGCTGCTCGCTGGGCCCTTGCTTGAGGGGACTGTGGTGCAATCAGGTGTCTGGCTGCAGGCTGCCTCCTGACCACTTTCTCTCAGGGCCAAGGCCCAGCCCTTGAGCACTGGTATCTCAGGACCTTGACAGGGTCATGTGTCTGTGCTGGTCCCGCAGGTCAACAATATCAACCAGCCCTTGGAGATCACAGCCATCTCGTCCCCTGAGAGCTCCCTCAAGAGCTCCCCAGTCCCTTACCAGGACAATGACCAGCCGCCCGTGCTCAAGAAGGAGAAGCCCCTGAGCCAGACCAACGGGGCGCACTACTCCCCACTGACCTCCGATGAGGAGCAGGGCTCTGAGGACGAGCCGAGCAGCTCCCGGTGAGCGGGGTGGGCGCTCGCGTGTGGGCGGCCCTCGTGTCAGGCCGCACCCCAGGGTGGGGACACGCGGCTTCCACCTGTTCGGGATGAGCCCTGACCCACGGTCCACGTGAGCTGCAGGGGGAGTCCTTGAGCAGACAGTGCTCCTGGCCCGCGGGGGCCTCTGCCGGTGTTGTTCCCGTCCCCAGTGCCCCTGCGGCCCCAGTTTAGAAGAGACGGAGGGAGGATTAACATCCGCCAGAGAGGGGCTCAGAAGGTGCTTTCCAGGCTCTTGCCGGCGCTTCACGCCTGGCGTATTTGCTTATGACACGTTCTGTTTGGTTTTTTGATAACGGCTTTGTTAGGAAGAATTCACACGGTGCCTTCCGCTGACTTGGCCGACTGCGGTCGGGATAGGCACAGGGCCGTGGAAGCGGCACCACTGTGATGCCCAAGCATCGTGGCCCCCGAGGAGAAACCCCTGCCCTCACCCATCACTCCCCCTCCCTCCCGGGCTCCAGTGCCTGCCATCTGCCTCCTGTCGCTCTGGATGTGACTCCTCTGGGGCCCTCCTGTGTTGGGGTCACACAGGACTTGTGCTCTGCCTGGCTTACGGCAGTGCGCCCCAAGTCCTCAAGGCCCACCCTGGCTTGGCGTGTTAGCACTGACTTGGAAGGCTGCGCCCTGTGCTGGTGTGGACGGGCCTGTGGGCAGCTGTTCACTGTCCGGGGGTCCTCGGTGTTTGACACTTCCCGCTCTGGGGAATCGCACTGCTGTGTGTGGCCATAAATGTTTTGTTTGGAAATAGGTTTTCAGTGCACACAGCACTGAGGGCTGGAGGAGGCTGGGTCGCACACGACCCGGAGTAGCCTTTTGCAGAACCCCTGGCATGTTTCCACAGTGCTTACCCGTTTCCCATTCTTGCAGCCATGCGTGCACCAGGCCTCCGGCCACTCACATCTTCAATGAAACTTGCCACGTTCTGATTTTTGTTTTAAGGCAGTAGTCATTCTGAAGGGGGTGTTGTTGCGGGTTTGTGTTCCTTCTGATGATTTTCTTCTCATGCGCTGGGCGCCAGTGTGGTATCTTTTTTTTTTTTTTTTTCCCCTTTAAGATTATTTATGCACACAAGAACTAGGGTAAGAGGACTCACCTGAGGCAGAGTGGGGAAAAGAACAGGCAGACGGACAATGTACGCTGCTGAGGGGAGCAGCGGGGAGACAGGAGAGGTCTGCTGTGCTCTGGGGGTCCCTCCCTGGCCGGGGGTCGAACTGGTGTGGCAGTGGCTGTGGAGAGCGTCACAGTGCTGTGCCCTAACCTGCTGCACCACCAGGGCGGGCCCCATGTGGTGTCTTCTTTGGAGAAATGTCCACTCAGGGGTCTTTGTGCATTGCTGAATTGGGTGGGCTTTTGTTGCTAAATTGTAAGAATTGTCTATACAATCTAGTACAAGACTCTTGTCAGACACTTGCAAATACTTTTCATGCCGTCGTTTTCTTTGTGGCATCATCAGAATTTTTAAATTCTGATGAAGTCCTGTGTTTCCATTGTTGCTGTGCAGTGGGGTCATGTCTGGTATCGGTTCCTCTTTCATATTGATACATTATGTTTAAGAGTTTTGCACATGGGTGCTGTTCTTTTGAGTCGGAAATGCCAGCTTAGCACTTCCTGCGTTCTCTTAGGAGTTACTCTGTGTTGCTGGAGGGCAGTGTTCTTTGGGATAGCCACAAAATAGTTTCATAAACTGGTACCTCTGCAGATCCAGGCACTGTCTGCTGTGGGACTGGGAACCACATTGCTGCGGA